GTGGAGGTGGGGGAGGGGAGGGGGAAGACTATTTGGCCCGAGAATTCCTGAACGAAAATCATAGTCCAGGCACTGACTGCTCTCTCCCTCCACACTGCTTTTAATTTTAATTTTTTTTTCCTACTCCCATAGAAAGCCAAATTCAACTGGGACCCAGAAACCGTAGGGATGATCCACGGTTCCTTCTTTTGGGGCTACATCATCACGCAGATTCCAGGTGGCTACATCGCGTCTCGGCTGGCAGCCAACAGGTAACGCGCCAGGCAGGGCTAGGGCTCGACGTGGTGGTGCTTGTACACTTGGAAGGGGCAGAGGAGGCTGGGGGAAAGGACGACAGTCCTGCGGGGTTTGGGAACTCCTGGGCGAGGTCCCTGGCACCTCCTTCTCGAAGTGGCAACTCTTGATGCCTTCTTCCATAATAAGGCTCCCAAAAGGATTGGGGCTCTCTCTCCTGGGAGGGCGCTAGTTGTCGCTTTCTATTTGCTCAGGCCCAACCGGCCTTTCACAAAATAGTCGACGTGCCTTTAGGTCTAGGAGGAGCTGAGGCCCCGCAGTGAGCTGACCAAGCACGGACTGTGAGGCTGGAGCACAAAGAGGTGGGGGCGACACGTGCTGCGCTCTCGCCTGCGAGGCCCGAGGGTGCCCCGGCTCCCTGCAGGGCTGACCTCCTGGCAGGGCGCGTCGAAAATACGGCCGGGGAGCCAGTCCAGATGGTGCTCTGGATCTGAAGGATTTGTCTCTATGGAGGCAGGGGCGATTTCAGGCGCCCGGGGTGCGATTCCACCTGTTAATGAGCTCCGCAGAGTAGGGGCGGGGCGGGGAAGGTGCTCAGCTGCGACCAGCGGCCTCCAGCCTTGCTGCGGTAGTGGCTGCAAGTCCTGGTCCTAGCGCCAGCCCTCAGGAATGTCCCCAGCGCATTCAAAGGGACTCCGACATTGGGGCATAAGTACTGATGGTGTCAAGGAGCACAGCCTGGCCCTCGGAGGGTGAGAGCTTCATTTGCTTCATTGTAGCATAATAAAACTACACGCTTCTTAAATTTTAATTGTTAAGCTGAGCAAGAACCCATGTGTTCGCCCTTCAGCTATTGCTTCATAGAGACCCCAAATAAAGACTTCAGGTCTTCCTTCAGATCTTGTACACATGACCTCACCTTCTCCCTCCCTCCAAAACCTGGGAAGTAATTTAAGACTGGGCACCTCTCTAGTCTTGATATCTTCTCTGCTTTTGTAAACTGGTCCCTCCTCAGCTCTCAATGAAACCTTCCTGTGGCTTCAATCTCATTCACCAGAGGTGTCTTCCTGTCCAAGATTTCTCCATCCTCTCCAAGGCCTATGAAGGAATTCTTGGAAATTTATTTTAGGTTTAATGACTGTAGGGTGAGGATTTTTGGACAGTTTCACGAGTTCTAGAGGAGAGTGCCATAGCTTAGGAATATTATGTTTAGCCTGACATTATGGAGTATTAGCATTCAGGCAGAACAAGAGGCAATTTTTTTTTAAAAAAGAATCAGTTTAAAGTGAAAATGATTAACTGTGTAAAATGAAAATGATTAACTGTGAATGAGATAAATCAAATAAAAAAACTGATATCAGGCAGAAAAATCTGAAGGAAATATTTCCTTAAATATTATTGGTGATGAACATGTTACATTTTTGACTTTCATATCCCTAATGCATAGGGTCTTGAATCTTTTTTTTTTTTTTCCTTAAACAAAATAAATTTCCCCAGAAAGATACTCCAAACATACATATATGAAATATTTTCACTTCAGGGGTGAATATCCAATAATTTGCCAAAACCCAAAACTGATACAGGAAACTCAATGTAATGTAAACTGGAAATACAATGGCTTTGCCAGTAAGTATTTTTTCAGAGTCAAAACCTTCAGCTTGCCAAATGCTAAAACGATAACATTTTCCTGCCAGGAAAAAAACACCATGGATGCCCCAGCTTTCCTAATTGTAACAGTAGGAGGTCAATAAACAGATTTTCCTGGTTAAAAGAAAAAAAGCAAGCTCACTGCTATCGCTTGTGTCATCTTTCATAAAGAAAAGACTGATGCTGACTCAGGTTTTAATTTATATGGTAGATTTTCCTCAAAGGAAAAATTTCTGAATTTTAGAATTTTTATTTGAATCCAAATTTACCTTACCTTTAAATGGGTATTCAAAAGAGAGAAACTTAACATTTTTACATGGTGTTTTGCGTTCTACGAGACTGAAAAAAATTAAGTTAAACTTCATTGTAATGTACTATGAACAGGTAGAAGATTATAGACTAACCTCCTTATTGCATCTTAGGATTTTAACATTTTTGCTTCATCTAAAAAATATAACCAAACATTACAATACAGTTGAAGCCTCCTGTTTTAAAAATATATAACATCCCCTTTTGTATTATGAAAGTATTACATATTTAAAATATATATATAATATAAAAGAAAGGATAATAAAAAAAATCATAAATAATTTAATCACCCAGAGACACCTATTAGTTACATGTTGATGAATGTCCAATTAGTCCTATACATGCTATACAGAATTTTATCTATAAGACTTTTTTAAAACACAAAATCTGAGAGTTTTAGAATTGGTTCAAAAGATGTATATTTTCTATTATGATTCTTTTTCAAAAACAGTAAAAACAACACAGCAAGACCAGATTTCCACTACAAGTATTGTATGCCCATTCAAATAAGCTTCTCCCATTGGATCATTTAATAATAGAACGAGATCTCTCTTGGGTGGGAGACTGGGGACAGATTCCTTTCCCTCTAGGTACGAAAGAAGTTCACACTGGAAAGTGTTTGCTCTCACTGTTGTGGATGGAACTGGAGTAGAGGAACTGAGATGTGTGGAGACAGCTCCTCAAGAGAAAAAGGCTCCTGGTTATGCTTCCTGGCATATTTCTTAATGAAAAACAAATGACAATGATTTGGAGTCTCTATTTTATAAATTAAGCAAAATTAGTCGCATACTTGGTCAGAATATAGAGATTTGGTTCTTTTTCTGGCCAAATTATAAATATTCTTGCTTTCTTGTTTATTGAACAGAGGGGCAGAGGGAGTTCTGGGTAGAGGAAACTCAGAGGAGAGCTCTTGCATCACTTTTTCCTTTGCCTTTCATTAAAGGGCTATGGCACATTCTGGGCAGGTGGATTAGTCACCTTCGTGGAGAGCCTTAGGGTGGAGAGCCAAAGAAAGACTCTTCAGAAAATCTGTAATATTTTCAAATAATAACATATTTAACAGTGGTTAAAAAGTGTTGGGGACAAATTAATTTTGTCTTTAAATAATATGGAGTATGAGACTTACAGTAATCCAGATATTTACAAATGCAAAATTGCTAAAGACTACTTTTACCTTGTATTTAGAAAATGATGAGGAACCTGGGCAAATATTAAATGAGAGAAATGACAGAATTTTGCATTGGCATAACCAAAGAAAGTCAGATTTACCAAAGGAAGTTTGGTCAACATTATGTTTTTAATGGTAATAGTGTATACACAAAGACTATTCTTGCCTTTGTCTAAGTGGCAATATTACTTAAACAATATTTAAAATTTTTTCCTATCCAGCTCCTGTCCTCCTGATTTTCCAGCCCTGCCACCTGTCATATCAATATTTTACTGCCACCTGTTTTATCAATATTTTACTTATTTTTCTTTTTGTTTAATGTTGGCCTTTCTCTAATAAAATGTAAGCTCCACGACAAAAAGAAATAGTTTTGTCATTGTTATTTTTATTGCTATATACCTAGCATCTCAGAGGGTGAGTAGCCAATGATTAATAATTGTTGAATAAATAAAAAGAACATCACAACAAAATGTTTTGGGCTTTTGAAAAAACTGAGAAGGCAGCGTGGCCTAGAGATTAAGATATAGGTTTTAAAACAAAACTATATGTGTTCAGAGCCTGAATGTGCTATTTAATAACTTACTGACATTAAACATTATTTAATCTCTCTGAGCCTCAGTTTATATTTCTATAAAAGGGGACTAATCGAAGTACTTACCTGGTACGGTTATCATGACATCTAAATAAGAGGATATGTAAAATTCTGTAAAAAAGTGCTTGGCACTCAATAACTTGCTGTTATTATTAATAAAAATCTTAAATTCAGAAAGAAATTAAAAGAAAAAAAACTTCTATGACCGTTCAGTATTACTTGTGTTTAAGCATTAGTAATACAAAAGGATTATTTTTATTGTAATAAAAATGCCTCTTTTCACATGCCAGATTTCTGCCTTTAAAATTATTTTCTCACACACATTATTCTCAATTAATTTTGTTGTTCACCACAAATGTCGTTAAATCTCATTTGAAGGCCTTTAAAGAGCTATCTTTAAAATATTTTTAGCCAACAGTATAGAGAGTGCTAGTAATTCAGTGTATGCAATGTTAGAATTCTAGCCAGGCATTATAAATACATTTAGAGAAATCCATTTAAGTTTGAGATTAGATTTCTCTGTCGAAAGTTACAGTTTATCTTCCCCTGCCCCTATCCTTTATTTAAATAAGATTCAGTTCCTAGGACAACATTTTGTTTTTTCAAGTATTTCGTGGGTTTCTAATGACTTTTGCTAAAGAAAAAAATAGTTCCTTATTTGAATAAAAGACTGAGGGTTGCATGTGTCTGTATCATAAGATGAACTCCCTATGACAGAAAGAACCTGTATTAGTGCTGGACAGGGCTCATCTAATCCAATCCTCTCATTTTACGGACCAGGAAAGAAGAGATTATGACTAAAACTCAGATGTCCAGCAGTACATGACCACAGGCTACATCTACTTTGAAATTTAATATCTCTGCTTGATTATGTGTTTCACTGCAAAGTTCACTTTCAGTAGCAGGCTGAGCCATCTGCTCTCTGAACGAGTGCCTACAATCTATCATGTCCCAAATCCTGGACAAAAATCCACGAATTAGAGAGAGAAGCCTTTAGCAGGCCCAAGGGATCTTTAGATTTTTGTGGCAAAAAACATACTGTATTTTTGTGTGTGCACTGGCTCCCAAACTATTTGACCACAACATGACTGATTCTGTTCTTCTCTGCAAAAGGCAACATTCAAACTTGATAATGACTTAAATAGTATGATTATCTGTAACAGAAAACATGGTTTCTACCTAGCCCCTTTTTTAGTTTGGGCTTCTAGAAGATTGCAGAGGTTTGAGCATGACTGAGGTGGGGGTAGTTTGGACCTTTTGCCTGCAAAGAGAGGTTCTTCCTTAGGATTTCAAATGATACA